GAGCTGGCCTGCTGGTATTATACAGCTGATATATATATTGTTTAGTATTAAGCTTTGCTTGTTCCATATTCAGTTTTTCAGCAAAACGTGTTTGAGTCCATAAGAAAAGATTCATTCTTATATCTGGAGGAATAAATATATTTCAATAAATATTAACGTTAGCCCGCGACTTTGTTCCACTTTTGAATTTTGGCCCACTGTGTATTTGAGTTTGACACCCCTGTATTAAACTAATGAAATACTTGGTAAATGGACTGGTTCTTATAAAGCGCTTTTCTACTCTTCTGAGCACTCAAAGCACTTTACACAACTTGTGCATTCACATTTTTCTAGGTGCTTTCTAAGTAACATTCACACACACTCAGAGCAATTTGGGGTTAGTATCTTGCCCAAGGATATTTGGCATGCACTAGGGGAAGCCAGGAATCGAACCACCAACCTTCCGATCAGTAGATGACCTGCTCTACCTCCTGAGCTACAGACACCCCAAGTGGGTTTCTGGGGCTCATTGCACTTTATTTTTACAATTAGCTGTAAAATCTATGTAAAAAGATCCGTGATTAATGGATGAATGTTCTGTGTGATTATTTTACAGGAGATTTGCCACCCTTGATCTTGTCCCCATCTCAGTATCATAACTATACCCAACCAAGAGGCAACTTCATCCCTTATGCCAATGAAGACAGACCCCAGTACAGGTAGAATGATGTTTAATTTACTGATAAACTTATATAACTCCTGCAGACTTTTATAATTAAAACTAAATATTGCAGATGTTTCTTTGACAGTGAAGTCACATTTCTCAGCTGTACATTTACCAAACAAACTGTTTGTGTTTGACTTCTTTTCTATTACTCGATATTAGAAAAGTAACTGCTCATGCTCACTCTAGTGCACGCTAGCCTGAAGTAAAGCAAGTACAGCAACTTGATTGACAAATAACAATGTTTGATATTTCTGTGAATTAAACTGGAACATCGCGTTATGTTTTCAGCAAATAAAAATTCAACATGCTTGATATTATTTATACTAAACTGTCTGTCAGGTTTAATTAGCGTAGATGCCCTGATTATAATAAGTCCCCACACTGCTGTAGCAACTTGTCTTTTGCTTAGTAAACAGCTGCATATAAGAAAGCTCTACCAAGACATATAACGGGTTTCTGGTGGTGAATCATCTCCACATCAGTAATGAAAGGATTCGTTTCAGTATATGTGGCTAAATTGTTGTGTGATGGTTGCAGTGAGACCAGGGAACTATATATAACGATATAGCCTCGTGTTAGCAGGACTGTCAGCGATGAGTGTGCCAAGCATAACT